ACAAATATGATTTGACTCAGCTTTGACTTTAATTGGCAATGCTTCTGAATATTGACTTTACTCTCTGAACACATAAATTGAAGAATGGGGAGTCTGTTCACTCAAGCCCTAAATTCTTGGTACTGATATAAAAGCTGCCTCTATGTTTCTGAGCCTTATAGAGGAAAACCTGGGGAGACAAGGATAGGAGTGTGTGCAGTGGGGATGGAAGGCCTGAAGTCCTTAAAACAGTCCCAGGGCTCCTCTTGGGGGCCGGGCTGTGCCACATGGAGCCTGTGTGTCCTGATCCCACTGGGCAGCTGTGCCTGCACAAGGGCAGCCACCCAGGTGCTCCTGGCAGAAGGTGCATCCCTACTGGGAAGATCTCTCCAGAATGAGGGCCAGGGGGCATCCTGCATGGCTAGTGTTTCTGAGACAAAGGAATTTGTATTTGGTTGTGGTTGGTCAGGAATTTGTTTTATCATGTTGATGTCAACTTCTGACCACCAAGACATCTTCAGAAGAGATTATTCCAATGGTAAATTCTACCAGCATGAAATTAACCATGGCAAATGCCAGCTTCCTATGCACACTGCAGTTCATGTATCTTCAACATCTGCACTGAAACTAGTTTTCCTTGAAAAAACGTTAGGCATTGAGGTGTTGCTTGACTAGGAGTTGGGTGGGGTAGAATTTGAAAACATGAATTTCCTGTGAAGCATTCCAAATTAAGACTCTCTATTGGGTAACCAGAAGAGAAAGTATAGAACAGAGAAATAGGATTCGAATATGGGACTTCCTCTCAAAGTCTGACCAGGCAATTTTTTAGTGATTAAATTCAGAGTTTCTATTTCAAATCTGTGCGTTCCTCTTAAAAGTAACTTACTCAAAAACAGTTGATAATAGCAAGTTAATTACCTTGAGTCTTCCTACTGGCCAAACTGGCTGGGCAAACCATTTTACAGCCATCTATTATAATTAATTGATGACTCATTATCACTAAGACGATCTTATGCTATTTACATCAACAGGGTTCCAATTTTTCACCAGGTAACTATCTTTAAACACACATACGCACACACTACACACACACTCTCACACACACACACTTCATACTTCTGAGTTTTCCTTTATTTCTACAACTAAGGAGAATAAGCTGTTGCGATGAACAATGAAGCACAGTTAGTACAAGTAGAACATCATGAATGTGGCAGGATCCGAACCTTTTTTAGGTTTCCCTTTTGGACTGTCTCTTCCCACACCTGAGGTATGTTCTCACCTCTGCCACACCCAGATACTTAGCAGAATTGCAAAATCTAAGAACAAAGGATTGTGTGTGACAAAACAAGCCCAGCTTAGGGAAGAATTACCTCAAAAATGAAAGGACTCTGACCATCCACTGGCGGGTCCCAACCCCAGTGTGTCTTCACGAAGTTTAAAACCTGAAACCACTCTGCAGAGACTAAGATAAAGCAATCTACTGACCCCAAAGAACTGTTTTTAAAACTCCACCACTGAAATAACTGTTGCAGAAAGAGCAAGGAAAAGAAAGAGCTCAAAAGAGGTAGCCAGCATTGAAGCTCTTCACCCAACTTTCCTAAGCTCTGCTCTTGCCCAGTAGGGGAATCGGCAGGATTTCCAACTATATCCTTGTTGCACACGTGTACGAAATTTCCCTGTTCAGAGTCATTCTTCTCAATAGGAATTTAGATCCCAAAATTCTTTGAATTCCTGTTATGGTTTTACTGGTAAGCCTTTGAATTCCTTTCTATAGAAGGGAATTAGAAATTAGAGGGCTATTAAAAGTGTTTACCTGTATTTTCCACCTAAATTAAAATCAAGGCGTTGGAGTTCAGACACTATGGAGAAGTCTCCCCAAAGGTGATAAGCTTCATTTATATCTGCTCTATATTATTTGAAGATTTGTTGACATAGAGGTGGAGGGTTAAATAATAAACTTGTGATTTTAAACCTATTTATCTTAAAACAAGCATGGCCATCTTTCAGATTAAACATTTACATATATAAAAATTAAGGTAAAATATAGAGGGTTATGCATTCACTTTCCTCTGTCTAGAGTATTTGGGTGAAGATCTAGACCCATGATGCATAAAAATGAAAAGGAGCCTTTTTCCATGAATTTCTATTTCTGATCAGGAATATTCTATAGTATAACAAACGCCAAAAGGATGGCTTATGATGTATTTCTATCTGAGTACTCTGTTCTATCTATGTGAAGGAATATGTTTACCATGTTTTTGCCCCCCGTAATATCTATTTCAAAATACCCTATAAACAATAATAAACACATTTTATACATTATATGAATGATTGTAATGCCTAAAAAAAACAAAACAAAACTGTACTTCTGTCAGGACCCATCACCTGTACTATCAAAAACTGAAAAACAAGTGCTTCCGAAAGATGCTCCTAGGCTGTTACTTACCAGGCCGTCCCCGTCAGCTCAGCAAACTAAGACCAGGACCTTTGATTTCAACCACACCCCTGGGTGATTGGGAAAACAGCTTATACCTGTGATGCTTATAAGTAATTACTCACATGGTCCAATGACAGAGAAGTGTTCCAAAAGACAGTTTAATCCTGACAACTCAAAACAATGGAAACTGTTTTCAAACAATATGCATGCAATGAGATATATAAATCCTAGGTTTTTTCAGTCACTCCCCGCCTTGTTTCTCTTTCTCACTCCCTTCAGCTGCTTCTCTCATTCCCACTCTCTCTGAAGAACTAGCCCCCACCCAGACCTAATCCTTCCCACTCCCAGCCCTTCACCTTCCCCACTCCAATACAATGCACCCCAGACACACTGGGAAGGCACTACCTTCCCTGCAGCATGGATAGCTGGAAGAGGTTGAGGGACCTCCACCCATGCAAGGGGGAAAGCCTAAGAATGCTCAGATGGGAATAACATCTTCTGTACTATGCTCTCGTCCACCAAATAATACCGCAACACTACCTCATTTCCGTTTTTACTGTTTTTATTTACTGGCATTATGACCTTGAGAAAATGACTTCACATTCCTGCGCATCCATTTCTTCTCTGAATCCTCAAATCCGTATCAGAATGTCTAGGTGAAGTTCACATGAATTTGTAATGGTGAAGCACTTAGAAGAGTGTGGTCTTTATAAACCATGATCATGTGTGGGTTTTAGTCATTGACACTAGATTTTAGTTATTGTTTCTAGTTATGAAAATCAATTTGAAAACACATACACAAAAAGCATCATGTTACTCCTTTTCTTTTTCCCAAGAATACTTGAGTAACTTAAGAAATGCATACAAGCACACTGAATCAGAGAACTTTGAGGGATCACTTGCAATCCCTTTACAGATAAGATTACGAGATGGGGGCGGAGGGATGGGCGGTGCAAACTACATGTCTGCATGGCTAGCCAGAGCCAACATTGGATGAGACCCAAATATGCTCATTTCAGATATGCCTAGAAAAAAATAAGTCAATTCAGGATTCATGTACATTATATGAATAGGATTGACTTTCAGCAGGAGTTTGTACAAAAATCAGTCTAAGTTATTATTCCTATATTCTTCCACTGTTTTCATTTCCTTAAAAAAGGAAAGCCTATCAAACTTTATAGTCAATCCAGCAGTATATAGTTTTGAAGCTAAAAATAATTACACTCCATAGTTACCTTGTGTGACAACTCAAAGACCTTGACATATTAGTTCTTTGTTACATTAAGCAGTAAATGGCACTTAGCATATCTGACTACTTTTAATGTGGGCAAGAGGTAATTGCTTGGGAACCTAGAACTGCTTATTTAGAGGGTGGGGACTCTTAATATAATTACAGAGCCGAAAACCACCTCAGCTTTACCATGGGAAATGTCATACAATGCATTGTTAGTTTTCATATGGCTTCTCAAAGTCTTCATTACTGTCTAGAATTCTCAGGAATTCTCCCGCTGTTTATGACATAAAGATGTCTGTCTTGGTGAATGTGAACCAAGGAATGGAGGATCTCTACACTTGAACAAAGCTGAAAGAAGTGGAACATTTTAGCCAATGGAATGATAGCATGTCTTTGTCCGAAATATTTCAGGTTGAAATGCTTCTGTTACATCAACTCATTGGTCCCAGGAAGTTGTATTTTTCCTAAATGTGCACCATTCAGGCACAGATGATTATTAATTGAAGAGGGGAAAAAAACAGTTGCATGAGAAAAAACTCAAAAACAAGACTACGTGTCTTAGAGAATCTTGTATCTGAGAATCATTTTCATGTACAAGGGGAGACCCAGTTTCTTAATCTCTAGATAGCCATCATCTTCATGAATTAGTTACGCTATTTATTTTTAAAATTGTTTTATTTACTGATTTGAGAGAGAAATGCTGATTTGTTGTTCCACTTATTTCTGCATCCATTGGATGATGGTGTCATGTGCCCGGACTGGTGATCGAACCTGCAACCCTGGTATATTGGGACGACGCTCCAACCAATTGAACTACCCGGACAGGGTCCTGTGTTATTATTTCAGAAGATGACACTTTTAACACTGTTAGTTACCACTTCAAATCCTCCAGCAGTCATGGAATTAGAAAAAAATTTCCTTCGGTATCAATAATCACCCAGACCACATTCTTCTAAATTTATGATGAGAAACATTCACCTCAAATTTTGAGAAGCACAGAAGAAAAATTTTGCTGCCAAAGACCAAATGGCTAACAGCACTAAGAAGAAATATCTCCCTTGTCCCACCACGCCTCTGTAACTTTTCCTCACATTAGATACACCAGAGGAGAACAACCCATGGTAGAAAATAAACAGGAAGGTGGACGGGGGCAGAGAAGAAAAGAGACTTCTTGCTGTCCCACCACTTGCTTGAAGATCCCGTCTCAAGGAAGAAGCAACGTTTCATTTTATCCAATATACTTACCACCCCACCCAAAGCACTTTAATTCCCTTCTTCAGATTTGAAGTAAAAAAAAAAGCCACACACACAAAAATACCAATTAGAAACAAGATTAGAAAACCTGGTTTACTTGGAAAAATTCATAATAAAAACCGCAGTTGCTTACTCTGCAACTTACAAAATAATTTGATATATCAAATGAACTGGCTTTCATTGTGTAAGTACAAATGGTAAAAAAAAAATAATAATAATCCATCTCACATTGCTGAATTCTCCTGTTGCATGTTTTACAATGGATATTTTAAATAGGTGAACCAAGCAAGACCAGGTTTTTAACTATATTTAAGTTTTTGCTTATAGTAGCAATCTATCAGAAGCCGTGTCTATATGATTAGAGCCTGGTCAACTGAGATGAAAAATTCAAGCCGTCTCCTCTCCTAAGGCTGTTTTAGTGTTACTTTTGTGACAGGAATGGCCTTTCTCATGCTTTGCAGCACAACCAAATCATACCAGTCAGGCACAATGAACTGGACCCAGCCCATCTTTCAACTCAATCTACTCTGGACCTGAACATATACACACAAAACAGTATGTCATTTTCCCACACCCCAACCCCACATACCACTTTAAAAGAGAAATTTTCATCTTAGCATTTCCCTACATAAGAAGGCCTTACTATTGCAACAGGTTTGGGCCATGAAGGAATTCTTTCCTAAACGACATATCGAGTTAACGCAAAGCTTAGCAGAGAATCAATTATGCAGGATATTAATGAGAAATTCTCACAAATGATATGCATTTAGGAAATGATTTTGCTTCTTTAAGTAGATAACAGATGAAAACATATTTATTTTTTACATTTCTTTTAGAATATTTAGTGGCTGACAATTTTTACCACTATTTCCCTCTTCTCCTTTTCCCAGTCCATTTAACCTGAGAAAAACAGACACTCGATCAGATGACTTAAATCTTTGAAGCCTTCTCATTTTTACCTTATAAAAATGTAAATTTCATAATCATATTCTTTTACACATGCAGTATAAAATGTATGGGCAGATAATAAGGAAATACTGGTATATTACAGGTACTTAGTTAAAAAAGTTTTGTTTAACTCTATAAAGCATCTGTAAAAGCTGAGTATGAAACTATAACCGCCTTGAAGAAATATTTTCTCCCAAATTGTTTTAACCGTTTGAAAAATGCCCCCCACAATAGGTCCCAAGAATTCTGGAGAAAACAGTCTCTTCCTCTGGAATCCATCCTGGCGGCGGGAATCCCTCCGCACCTTAGGCAGATGTGTAGAAGTACCTGGGCTTGGCATTGCCCAGAAGGTCGTCTTCATAGTTGGGCAGGCAACAGAAGAAGAAGGAACAGCCGATCAGGATAATCGTGGCTGCCCACCCAAAGCCGTAGGCCCAGTTATAGATGTAATTGACAGCAGGGTTGGCATGAAGGGAGAAGGTCTGGGTGTACTTCACGGGGTAAATTACCAGGGAGATGATCTGGAACACAGCTGAAGGAAAGAAAAAAATCCCAAAGTATGAATGCATGCACGTATGAATGAATCAATGCAAGGGAACAATAGATGAACGCCCTCTCCCGGTGTTTTTGTGTTTAAGTAAGTGTTAAGTCCATCTAAATAATGCTAATGAAAGGGGCTAGGGTATCTAGTTAATCAGGAGTCAAAAAAGCTTACTAAATGTTTTGTGTCTGAGGTACCTGGCATTGAGTCGAATACCGAATATTGGAAATAGGGACAAAAGACAAGTAGAGAATCACTCTACAGTCCATCTGCAAGTATTATATGTACAGAAATAAAAAATGCAAAACTGTGGTGTGTAATAGAAAGCAGGATGGCGGTGCAGATTCTATATTTTCATCTTTGAATGTCCTGTTCCAAAGACATGGTTAGTATTTTCAGTGTTAGCAAAAATAATAGAAACATACACATAAGTGCATGCACACACACATCACTCCATTCAAAATACACCACTGGAATATTCGTTCAATGAATGAATGTCTAAATGAAATGACGAACCAATGATACAAATGATCGGTGATGAGAATCATCACAAAAGCCTGCAAAGGATGGGAGAATCTGAAGAATGCACAGAAATGGAAAAGGAGATGGAGGGCAGGGCGGAGGGCGTTCCGGGCTCAGGGAACGGAAGTGAAAGAGGGTTGTGGGGAAGTGGGAGAGAGGGTGCAAGAAAGAAAACAATGTGTCAGGATTTCTAAACTTCTTGGTATCAGAGTCACACTATTACAGTTAGTTTTAAGCAGCGTTTATTTTCACGTTGATTGAAAGAACTTAATCTTCTTTTATTGTCTTTTTCCATGACCATGCATAATTCTATAAAGCTACAATGAGTATATACATGCTGTGCTATGTTCTGTGGGGTTTTTTCCTATTTTACTTAATATTTCCTGTGCATGTTGCCACATCAGAGGATCAGAGCAGACTGTAGTTCTGTAACATTACTTTTTACAGAGAGGGGTCAGCTGGCTGTGCTCCCGGGAATGTGTCCGGGAGCTTATGGTCCTCACTTTTTCTCTCACCTGAATTTTCTTCTACTGGCTCCCACAGATAAAATTCCTAAAGGTGTTTCTTTTTCCTTTTTTTAATTGCTAGAAAGTCCGCAGATGTTTTTACATCTTGGTTTGTTGCTTCTATTTCTCAACTTCTCTCAACTCAAAATGTTCATTTCTATTTTAAGTATTTCTCTGTTCTTGTATACCTTAAGTGGCAAATTCTTACTACTCAAGTTTGTCAGTTACTGCAAAATTCTGTGTAAGTGAAAGTAATCCCCTATAACATTCTCTATGTTATTCTCTAATTTGCCTAGCCATAAATGTTAAATATTGTGATTTACTCATTTTGGTTCATCATACATGAAGTCCTTGTAATGGTATGGGTCAATTTCTGCAAAATCCAAGTATTTTCTAAAATTTTCTAATTTTAACATAATATAAATACAATTATTTTAAAATAATTGTTGTGAAATATATCTTAAACATCAAGTAGGCCTTATTCAGTATTATTTCTAAAAATGTATTGAGATTTCTAGGCTTATTTTCTTTACAATCATTTCCTATTTAAACTCTAACGAAGGTGAGCTTTAAATTGTAAAATGAGAATACAGGAGGATCGTTCAGCGGTTCACCTATGGAAGCTCACTACAACTAGTGTCTTTTACAACTTCTGCTACTCTATGAGCGCACGATGGCCATTGTTAGATCTTTTTAAAAAATTTTTTTAATTTATTGATTTTAGAGGAAGAGAAAGGGGGGTGGGGAGAGATTGGTTGTTCCATGTATCTATGCATTCACTGGTTCTATGTGCCCTGGCCAGAGATCGGATCTGCAACCTTGACGCATGGGGATTGATGCTCTAACCGACTGACCTACCCAGCCAGGGCCTGTTATTAGATCTTAATGTTTTAATGCTCAGATGGACAAAAGAGCTTTCCTAGAATTTTTTTTAATTGTCGCAAAATATACACAACATGATATTTATCATTTTAACCATCTGTTAAGTGTGCAATTCAGTGGCATTAAACACATTCACAATATTGTGTAACCGTCATCCCTATATGTAACTAAAACCTCTTCGACATCCCTAACGTAAACTCTAGCTGCATTACCCCTTCCCCTCAGGCCCCAGTAACCTCTAATCTACTTTTTGTCTCTGGGAATTTGTCTATTTCAGGTACTTTATATAAGTGAAATAATAAAATATTTGTCCTTTTGTGTTGACCTTATTCCTCTTAGCATAATGTTTCCAAGGCCCATCTACATTATATAGCATGTAACAACACTTTATTCCATTTTATGGCCGAATAATATTTTATTTTATGTGGATATACATACCACATTTTGTTTTTTCATGTATCTGTTGAAGGAGACAACTTGGGTTGTTTCCACCTTTTGGCTACTGTGAATAATGCTACTATAAACATGGGTGTACAAATGTCTGTTCAAGTCCCTGCTTTCAGTTCCTATGGATACACTTGAGGTGGAATTGCTGAGTCATGGGGTATTTATTAGGATTTTTCAATGAACGTTCACGTCCTGCTATGTTATTTCCAAAGGTGATGTAAACAGGCATCCATCTAGTCTTCCAACTCATGTCAAAGCAAGATATATCAAATGTATTTCTTTGATAAGGCCTTACAAATTTCAATTACAAAAAGCCAAATAGAAGCAGAGGTAGGAATGAACAAGGTTCCTCATATCTTTTGTGATTTTATGTAATTTCTGACTTTAAGATATTATTCCAAAAGCAAACTTTCAAACATGAGGAACACTGGAGTAAGCTTTATTTTTAATCAAGAGGGATTTTAAATGTACAGGCGAGGGCAGGGCGAGGCCTGCGAACGCCCTTCCTAAGCTCAGGGAACCCAGCGCCAACGGCTCTCCCCCTGGGCTCCCACCTGATCTTATGGACCCCATTCAGTCACAAGCTTCTGACCTGTTTCCAAGACCTTCTGCTCCCTTTGTGTTTGTTCTCCAGGTCTGGAGCTGGATTTCTGCTTTGCTCTGGTGAGCCTAAATTATCTTGAGAAATGACCTGTGGCCTCGCCTGCCCTGTCAGCTCCTCCTCCTTTCCCCTCCTCAGGGAATCCAGTTTTGCCTCTAAATCCAGCTCTGTGGCTGTAGTCCTGCCTCTTTGACAGAGTTCCACAGGGCCAGGCAGGTGACTTTCTAAAATTCCAAATTATGTTTGCTCCTAGAGTCCGAGTTCTTGTATTCATGAATAAATATTTACCCTGGGCCCCATCCACCTGCACAGCTACATTTCCGGTTCCCCTGCACCAATGAGGAGGCAATTCCAGAGCTGGCCTCTGCCGGGTCCCCCACCTGTTGCAGAAAACCCTTCCAGGACGCTCGACATCATAAGACCACGAAACTCCTTCAGTAAGTAAAATGGCTCAGGCACATTCCCACCCCGCAGCATGGGGCTCCCAGGAGGCCAGCCCTGGGCCCACTATAGAGTCTCTGCATTTCCGGGGCTGACTCAGCCCTATCCCTCGGGGTAGGGGTGTCACTGGATAAGGGGATCACCTACAACACACAATATACAGGATGACAGCCTTCCTCACTTGGATGGGGAGCAGAGTACCGCCTGAGACACAGGAGGAAAGAATCTAGATCCCCTGAGACTTCTGCCCTTGGTGACACATTTTCTGAGAGCAGGTCAGGAAGTGTAACTGTGTCAGGGATCTTCCTTCCGGATTGGATCCTCCTACCCTGATGTCTGCTGAAGTTATGCATGAGGAATTGCTGACACAGTCTTTCTTACCAGCCAGGGCCAGGAGGCCTCCAATCACTCTCAGGAAGACAAGCATCTGGGGTCCACAGAGGGCGAAGAAGGAGAGGATGAAGCAGATCACCAGGAGGATAAAGCCGCAGAAGAGCGTGGCGGCGGCGGCCCTTCCCCACGCTGCGAGGAAAAGGAAACAGTGATTAATGAGACAGGCGTGCCAAATTTAAAAACCACTTCTCAAAGAACCGACAGGAGTTTTTTTCTGTCTACTAATTAATTATATTTGGGCGGAAGAACAGTTTTTCTTTTGGTAATACATAAGCATCTCCATATTTCAGGGGGGAAATTAGGCCATTCATGTGCAGGACATTAATATACTGATACACGGTAATGCCTTGTACCCTGGGTTTTGGGACAAATGTTTACTTTATTAAGCTTGTTTTGCATTTAATAAATTGGCCATATAAACTGGTATATTTAAAACTGGCATATTCAAGTTTTAACACAACATGACCATTAAATAAAAAATCTCATTTTGGTACTGAACAATCCAAATTACAATCTCTTTAGGAAATGTTTCAAACGCCTCTACAAGGATCTTTGTTTCGTATCAATATTTGGTTCTGTGCAAAAATAATCTTTGAAAACATAAACCTAGGACTAGGTAGAGATGTGAACTAAAACAATTGAGTTGTAAAGTAGCTTCTTTTTTCATTTTTATAACACAGGCACAGTCTTTCTAGATTTCTGTCTAGATTTTAACTTATGAAGTATTGAGAATTTATTGCACAAGAGTTCTTAATTACCGATGTTGGCCCTAGAACTGAGCTCTAACTTTAGTGACCCACGGGGGCGCCTCAGCCCTGGGTTATGCTGCCCGAAACCCGTGCAAACGAAGGACCGTGAACCCAGGCCAATGATTCCAGCCAATCACTCTGTTGTTCGGTCTGCTCTGGTTTTTAAGGTTTCTTCACACACACCTTCTCTCTAGAGGTGATTACTGTCACTTAAGAAGTACTTGCTCTGCGCCAGGCACTGGGCTAAGAACTTGACACATTTCGCTTCCAGAATTTTCACAATAACTTTTTAAGATTCATACCAATATCATGTCTTTAGAAACGAGGCTATCCAGTAAGGCTTTGAGAGTTCCAATAGCCTGCCATAGCCTCACAGCTACTAAGTGATTTGGGCAGAGTTTGATTTAGAGCCTGCCTGAATCCAAAACATGATCTTTTTTCAGATATAATTTACATACCATAAACCTCACTCTTTTCAAGTATACAATTTAGTGGTTTCGCTATTCACAGTGTTGCGCAGCCTTCACCACTTAACAATCACAACCTTTTTCTCACCCAAAAAAGAAACCCCACGTCCTTCCTTCCTCCCTCCCCCCTCCTCCAGCTTCTGGCAACCACTAATCTACCTTCTGTCTATAAATTTGCCTATTTTGGACATTTCATATAAATAGAATCATACACTGGGCGGCTTTTTTGACTGTCTTCTATCATGTAGTGTAATATATTCAAGGTACATCTCTGTTGCAGCGCGCGGCAGCGCTCCACTCCTGTTTAGAGCCAGAATATATCCTATTGTATGGATACCCCACTTGTTGTTTATGCATTCACTCATTAGTGGATGAACATGCACTCTTAACCTGTTATTCTTTATTTCATTTGAAAAGGTGAGTCCTGTCTCCTCTGCCCTGGTTTGGCTCCAATGCTAACACGGCTTGGCTGACAAGTTCGTCCTCAATTCTAGGTCATAACACTGGTTGAAGTGAAAGACATGGGAGAGCAGAAAGGCAAGGACGTTGGAGGCGGAGCTGGGCCTCATGGATACCCTGCCTCTGCCACCTATAAGCCACTGTCAGTCTGCGCATCTGTTGACCAAGCCAAGAATACCTTATTTCAATATTTTGTAAGGATGAGAGTTTTTGTGTGAAAAGTCACAGAACTCAAAGTTTCTCCTGTATTCCTAGGGTTTTTCTCCAGTAACTCGAGTTTTCATTTTATTCTGCATTCACAAGGTTCTGCACAGTCACATAAAGGCTGTTCCTCAGTTACCCACTGCATTTTCTTATCTTCATCTGTGACAGACAAGCCCAGACTAAGTTCCCCTGTTACCTTTACCAGCTCCCACAGTCCCTCCAGATCTTTGGATTCATTAATGACTGGCGCATAATAGGTCATTACAGAGACAATTACTTCTTAGTGGCAGTGGTCTGGATGGGGCTAAGTGGACGTAGTTTCACATTTATAATTTTTATTACTTCCCTTCGAATCTTCTCCCTCTTCCTGTAAGATCCGTACGTGATTTTAGAGACAAGGTAAAATAAATGTTTCCTTTAAAATAGAAATGAATAAAGTCAAAATAGGAGATTAACTAAGTCTCTTATCTCACTTTTGCCTTGTCCTTCAAGTAAGGTAATTTTCAACAGAAGAGGAACCATGCATTGAAAAGAACATTAATGAATCGGGTCCTCTCAAAGTTCAGTCCATACACCACTGAGTCAAAATCATCCGTGGAGCTGATGAGAAATAGAGATTTCTGTGCCTCCCTCCAGACCCACTGAATCATGGCTGGAGCAATAGTGCCCAGGAATCTGCATGTAGTCTGCGAACATAAATATAAACACAGGCCATCTTGAGAACTTAGGTTAAGTTAAACCCACTCAGTTAACGTCTTGCTTATTTACAATGCTGACTCATCAAAATGGAAAATTAAAGACATTTTGTCTTGACAAAGACTGCCCTGGAAGGAGACTGGTAAAACCTGCTCCTGCAGCGTGGGAACACTCACCCTGACTCATTTAACTATCATTGAAGGCAGAAATCTTGGCATGGTCTTAATGATTCTATTTCGACTGATGAATGACAAGTAAGGCAAAGTGCCTTCCCATGCCAATGACTATTTTGTTGTAAAATGATGAGAGATCCTCATCAGCAGGATCTCCTCAGCCCAATATTCTGTCCAACAAAGTGACGACAGCCATGTAGACTAGGACGTGGCAATCCTCCAAAGACATGCATTTCAAAAAGTTAAGTCTGTACCCTAAGTACCTTTGGTCTCGATTACCCAGAATGAGCCTAATATCTACAAATTTACCCAACTCCTTTGAGAACTATTTATATCTTTATAGTGTATCATGGTCTACACTGTACCATACTTGTCAACCCTAATGGAAAATGTCAACTGTAAAACTTGTCCAAAAGCTACTTCTGTGATTCAACAAATGGTTCTCAGTTCTTCAAATGTAGGCTGTTCGTCTTGAAGATGAGTCTGTACTTTATTATTGTTTTATGCACTTTGAATTTTATTGCCTTATTCCTAATTGTGTCTGTTGTGTGTGCACGGAAGCAAGCAGGATTCTCATTGCCAATTATCCTTTTCTGAATGGGCATCCAGTTCTCCAGGTAAAGAGAGTTTAGGGAAGCTTTTTGTTTGTTTTGTTTCCTGAAGGAAAGATAAACTTGGTGTTTTAATACATTATCTATTAGGTATATAATCTATTATGTATATAAGTTTACTTTCTAAATACCACTTGGAGAAGTTCATGCTATCAAAGGAACCAGCAGCATTATAAATCCACTTTTAAATGAGATTCATTAAAGATCCGTGTAGAAGAATAACTTATCAGGTTTTGCTCTGGCTTGCAAAGATTCAACATTAAATCAATGTGGAAACCATTCAGTGGTCACTAAAGAAATCACAAGCTTTTCCTAAGAAATGCTTTTAAGTTTTCTGCATGAAAATGAATGCTATATCTTTTTTCAGAAGTTGCATTTGAAAACAATGTAACACAGCAAATACAGATAGGGAAAGACCAGTAAGGTTAATTGGTAAGAAAAGAGCAAACAAAAAGTAAAAATAAGTAACTTGAATGTCAAGCTAGAAACCATAAATCAAACTGAAGTTTGTGAAAAGAAAAAAGCTTTTATTTGAAGACAAAGAGAGCACTGTTGATATTTTTAACATTGTTGATATTGTTGGTAATATGTTAGAGACTATCGCTAATTCTTCCCTTAAAGTTAGTATTTCTGTTAATGGTTTTGTTGCATCTTCAGTAGTTCTACACGTGAGCAGCAAATGTTAACCAAAACAGTCTGTGGCCTAGCCCCTTGTTCAGTGCCCTGCAGACAACAGCCAGTTACCCAGCTAGAGTAAGGTCCCTTTCCAGAACAAAGGATTCATCTATTAACCATACCACAGGCCCTACCTAGTGAATCTGAGATTCTGTCAGACCTCTTCATATCATTTCTGTAGGATTCTTTATATGATAATACAGGTACAACTGACAAGTGAAGAGAGTCATAATTGAAAAAATAAAAAAGATCCTGTCTCCAAATAAATATAAGCATGGATGGATGATACACAAAAAGACTGTTGCATGTTCAACAAGGAAGTAATCTGCAGGAATATAGGCCAGCGCTTCTGAAACTTAGAAGTGCTCGCAAATCACTTGGGGATCTTGTTCCAATGCAGATTCCAATCCATCGGGTGGGGCGTGAGACACCGAACGTCCAAACCTCTGACAAAACACTGGCACTGCTGCTCTGTGACAATTTGAATAGCAAATATCAACAGGACAACTCCTAACAGGCCTCCAAAAAAAAAAAAATCTACATACGAAGAAGCAACTTTGCAGAAGTTTTGGAAGGCAGGACACACAGCTTTACAGGAGGAATGGCAAGGTCTCTCAGGGGAATTCCAGAGTTGGTGTGAAATTCCTTCCATGCTCTGCATTTTCTCCTGACCCAGAGCCAGATGGTAAGCCATCCTGCCCAGGAAGATGTGAAAACAGGAAACTGCATCCTGAATTCACACAAAATAAATGGCGAATTTAGGATCTACCCTTAAATATTTACAAGTCTGCCAGAGGGAAGGCGGCTGCAAAGTAGAATTTACAGGGAAGCACATTTCAGCCCCATCAGTAGAAGAGGGTATAAGAGAAGGGCTTTTAAACAAAGAGCATCATCAAGAGAACTGAATTAAGTTGCTGAACAAAGGGAAGAAGCTCAGATCAGTCATGGGTGGTGTTGATGAGGGCACCTGGCAAAGGCTTAAATAGGTTCGCTCTGACTCCCTTCTAATTCTGATTGTCTGGGAGACTGTCTACAGGAAGAAGACAAGTTAGGACACTAACAAGAGATGGAGGCTCTCGGGTGGTCAAGGTGAAGTGCAGCTAATGTGGAGTGCGCTGGGCTAGGTCACTGGTTCCTAGATTTCTGGATTTACATATATATTTTTTTAAACTATGAAAATCAATTGAGAGTGGCCAATTTTTTATCTTGCTATGGAAGGACGTGAACACATGCCCGCAAAGAGTAATCTATTTCTACCAATGCCCAATTTCATAAAATAAGAATATTTTAATACCTCTCCAAAGCCACAAGAGCATCATCTCAAAATGAAATCCCTTAAATTGAATTTAGCCTAATGTAAACCTATTAATTTCATGTTTATTTTTCTCATTTCCTGTACATTTCAGAAACACGGGGCTGAATGATCTAAAGATATTTCCCATAATACTCTGATTATTTCATTTATCCAAGAAAGATGTCATGTAAAAAAATAAAAGAATATTCAACTTATTCTGCAGTATCAAACGGTGTCTTTGGTAAAAAACTCTGCAACTGCAGCTCTGCAACTGTTCAGGTACAAGGCAAACGCCCCTCAACACTGACTCCCCACTTTTTCCTGATGCATATCCATTATTGAGAATCATCTCCATTATTCTCCGCCCTGACAAACCGGGGCTTGCTTGGGATTTGAAATATACATCACTGGTCTTACAATGGCCTCCTGATGTATTTTTTTCTTAAAACTGAAAAAGAAGGCCTAACTAATGTGGCCCAGTTAGTTGGGCATCATCCAGCAAACCGAAAGGTCTCTGGTTCGATTCTTGTCAGGGCGCAGCCCGGGTTGTGGGTTCAGTCCACAGTTAGGGTACCTATGCAAGACGGCCAATCGATGTTTCTCCCTCTCATCAATGTTCCTCTCTCTCTCCCTCCCTTTCTCTCTCTCTCTGAAAGCAATGGAAAAAAAAACAAAAAAAAAACCCTGAAAAAGAAGGTACCAGTAATATAAAAATCGCATGTGTAAACATGCATTCAAATTTAATTTTGGCATTTTATGTATACGTGAAATTGAAACAATCACTTCAATGTTTAAATCTAGATTTTTTTTCCCTGTTGTGGGAAATATAAATCACAATTTTTAAAAAATTCAAACAGGTATCTGTAAAGCTGGGTATTTATTTAGTTGTTACTATCATGAAAAGAACATTCTCAGTATGTAATTTGGTTCATTCATAGAAAAAAAATTAGGTGATATGGTAAACTGTAAATAATGGTGAAGAATATAATATTCTGCTTTTTACCTCATATTAAGGAACTTTATCTTTATTTAAAAAGTCTATATTAGTTAGCATTAATGCCAATACTTGCCAGAATTAACCTGTGGCTTTAATATTGAAATTAATGTATTAATAATGATGAATATCAATTAATAAAAGAGATGGTCAAGCACTTTGTAATTAAAAGGTAAGCTTATTAGTTACAGTGGTAAATCACAATATTTATTTCCTAGCACATATGAAGAAGTTTTAAAAACATGGACATACCCACTCGATTCTCTACCTTGAGATATCATTCTAATTAGCGCCATCAACCTTAGTCCTTGTTGCATTTACACATACGTGGGAGTGTATGTAAACTGCTTATTACATTTCAGATAAAGTCATGTAAACATATTGTTTTCAGCAAGCCTTTATGAGGCTATCTCAAATGCCTAAATCATGGTCCTGCAGTGTCGGAATACACAATTGCTACACTTGTGTGGGAAAGACTAGCTAACAGTCCAGGTCAAGAGGAAGAGGAGGAGTATAATAAACACTCCCACTCATTTTTTACTATAATAGCTTGAGACTGGACCTCTCCTGGTAAATTTTTTAAAAAAAATTAGACTGAGAAACAAAACCTGCTTACTCCCTTCCAAATACAAAGCACTGTATCAGTCTGAGGTTGGTAGAACCACTCCCTAGCAAGGTGAGCTCATCCTACAAGAAAAAGAAAAGTGCATTGTGCAGGTTTCACAAGAGAGTTGTGATCACAGCCAGAGCCTTGCCAGCCAGGTCACGTCGCAGCACCCCAGTCCCTACAGGGCACTAACTTCTTATTTCATATGTGAAGTATTCCTGTGTATTCTCAGGGTCTGTATGAGTCTTTGGAGTAAGGTATGATTATCAGTCTATTTAAAAGCACATCTATTTAAGCAGACCTTTAAGTCCCTTAAAAGATAGTGAGTTCAAATGCATTTTAACTACAAGATACAGATATATGATTTCAAAGAAATATATTCTCTTTTAAAAACCTAAAAGATGCTCAATAATACAAACCCTGGAAGGCGTCCTGTTTGTGTTTTAAGAGAGGAAAAACAGACTTTAAGGAAAGCAGAAATTCCATTCAGTAGTCTTCACCTTAATTTATGACCTTCTAATGAGGACTATGCCTCCTTTCAGAGAAAAGTTCACATGGGAACTTCCAAACAATTCCACAGTCCATAAGAATCAGCACCAAGCCTCTGATAGAGGATCCCAGAAATAAACAGTTTGGTGAGAAGCCCTGGGCCACTTGGGGTGGGGGGTGGGAAAGCCAAGTCAACAGTCCCAGCAGGAAATGAAAAAAGGCAAGGTGACCTTTCTCTTTCTCAGTTAAAATTATTAAACTCGGTTGGTAAGGTCCCAGTGAGTAGTATTTGGCTTTAAGCTTCTGATTATGTTCATAGTTAAACCCAGCTGTTCTTCACCTCTACTAGTTAGCAGGGGGTGGCATCAGACAAAAAAACCACACTGCTCTCTGCTCAGGACTATCAACAAGTTAAGCACTGTGGCTTCCTCCATGCTGGGAGAATAAAATACTCCATCTGCAATACATTATATTTGTCAACTTTCCTTCATTTCGCTGGTGTGGAAAATGTGTTTGTTTTTTCGATTTCAAATCACATTCAGATCAAGATTTCTAAACAGCAAGGCCACACTTAAACCAGAAAGACCTCCCCCACCCCAAGACATAAACTAACAAGAGTTAGCCTGAAGTTTTAAACAGTGCAGGATCGACTAAAATCTTAGCTGCTGAAATTTTGAGAGCTGTTTTAATGGAAGAGGAGCTGCTTTCACTTAGTTCAAGTTAAACGAATAATAAAACATTAGGGAAGGACGAAGCAGAGGCAGAATGGGAAGAAATGTCAGTTGGTCTCCAAAAAATATATACTTTGTTCATTATAGTTACTCATCAAACCTTTTCAAATGGCTGAAATCATTTTTTGCCCGGAACCGACAAACCCTATGGTAATTTTCTTCCAGTGCTGAGCCTGGCTACGGCCACTCAAATGTGCTACTGCTTTGTTTTGTTCGAGTAGGAAGCAGAAAGCTAATAGACAGATTTTTTTTTAATCGCCCATCAACCCTGACTATTCAGCCGCTCCGCAAAGGGCGGCCTCTGAAGGCCGCGCACTCCATTGCGCCAGAGCGTGCACGCCAGTCCGAGGTCCAGGGGACTTCCCGGAGGCGGCGGCGAGCAGTACTCACCGTAGTCCATGAGGCTCTCGCAGCCATCCGAGGTGGACCCGGTGCCGCCCCCCTCGTGGAAGCATCGCCACCACAGCGAGGACGTCTGGATGTGGGTGCTAGACTGCACCCAGCCGCGGCCGGACAGAGCGATGATATCGAAGGCGATGGCGCTGAGCAAGAGCAGGGGCAGGATCCACCTGCAGCGCTCGCAGGCCAGGCCGCAGCGCAGCATCTCTACGGTGGCGGCTCGAAGGAGAAGAGCGCAGGGGCACGGTCACGGGCGGAGAGTGGCCTGCTAGTGCGAGCAGAGCGACAAAATTGAAGAGACGCCCCGACCCCACCTATGTTCCGGTGACTCAGAGCGCGCCGCCTGGACCTGCCCCTGCCGGGCGGGCGGGCCGGGCTCAGGTTACACCCGGTGTGGGTGTGGTTTCCCCGCCCAGGCGGACCTAGAGGCGCCCGGCCGAGGCGGCTGAGGCTGGGGCTCCTCAGTCTGCAACCTGGCGCACCTCCGATCTTCCCCACGACCTTATTTCCCTCTTACACAGGATCCAATCACTTAAATGTTTTTTCCCCCTCAGTGCTTCAACGTGTGCACGTTTTAATCTGCGCAACACCAGCTAAATATTTAACCCCCAATGTCGGATAATGGCCTGATTTTCAACAATACCGTCTTTAAGTTTCAAACAGTTTGAAATGGGTGTTCAAATTGTACCTGTGGGTCATCGCTGCACTCCGTGTAAATGCTTGTGGCAAACTCAGGAGCAGGCCCCCCGATCCTCCCAGGCAGAGGTGGGCCCTTCTTCCTGGGCTCCACCTTTGTACCTTGTACCGTGGCTCTCCTTCGTACTCTTACCTGCTTACATGCTGCCTTTCCCACTGGGTTGCCAGCTCTTAGAGAGCAGAGGTCGTGTTTTATTTGTCTGGGTATCCCTGGTATCCAGCACCGTATCTGGATGCGTAAACACACTGAATCGAACTAATGTTCCCTTCAGTTTCACCAGCGCTTCATCTGCCTTCCCCCGAAACCTTCATGTCCTGTCTGCCGCGGTCCCCTTGCTATCACAAATCTGCACCTATTTAAACCCCACTTTATCTACTCTTTTCATTTACTATTGAAGTTTTTCCAAATAGAAACCATAGGTCAGTGTGCATCCAGAACCTAAAATCCCACCTCCAGTGTCCCGTCCCTGCTTCTGTCACCACCTGGCTCCTCAGGTGTGGCCGGGCGGGTGGGTGGGGTGGCAGCTGGGCGTGGCACTAAGGAGAAACAAGTTCTCAGTCTCGGTGTCAAGTTCTCGGTGGCCTCAGGCAAAACCTGAAAAACATCCAGTGAGGGTCGGAGCTAACCTTGTACCTCCAAAGATTTCTTCTAAATCCCTTACTTTTTTCCCTATTAATTTTATATGAAAGAAGTGGGAAGTAATAGCGAATTTAACATTTAGTCCTCTGTATTGCAGTGTGGAGTTCTCAATAGAAACGGTACTCTTTTGTTTAACTCAGTTCTCTGGTAATTTTGGAGTATGAATGGAAAAAAAAGTACCGAGAAAATATCTAAAATCACATGAAATAATTTCCTGAGCCTTCATTTACACAAACCAAGTTCATATATTTTCATTAGAGGCAAATATTTTCACTTTTAAACAGGGTATTTTGGTGAGAGTTAACTGCGTAGGGTGGAGATTGTGTAAAGAAAATAGGCTCTTAGAGTTTTCAAAAGTAATGAAAATATTTGTTTATTTAGCTGTGTATAATATATGTTTATGAGAAAAATTATATTCTTACAAAATAGAGTACTGTTTTTGAGAAAAGTGGTTTGAGACAAAAAGAGAGTTCTGTTAGTATCTTAATATCTGAATAATTTTGCATAGATATGACTTCTTTTTCTTACTCCAGCGGATTTGAGGGAAAGAACTTGTTAATGCTGAGATGAAAACAAGGAAAGTATTTCTTTAGAATTTCTGGAAGAGACTAAACCAACTGTGGTTAGGTTCCAACAATAATGTACCTAACTAACACATGACTCACAGACTGTAGGACCAGGTAGTTAGCTCTGGTTCCGATCGTTTCTCATACAAGCTGTGAAACACTAGTCCACTTAATTTATTTGTTCCTCAGTTTTCTTACCTTTAAGTGGATAGTGCCCACCCTATAGTGTTGTACTGAGTATTAAAAGAACTAATATACGTAAACTGCTCAGGATAATGCCTACACAAGGTAAGCCACAACATGACGGTTGACAATGATGATGATAATTTTCACATGGGTTCCTCACTTTAATAAGGTCGGAAAGAGGCGTTTTCATGTTTATAAGGAGCAAATTCTATGTATGAATACCACTGTAAATCATCGAATTATATTAGACAATGAAATCATTCGTCCTAACCATATTCATGAAATGATAGATTATGGTAGAAAATAGTTAAATAGCTCCCCCTGCCGGATAATATAGGGATTGCAGAGCACTTGACAACAAATTATAACTGCAAAAAGTTTCTGCTTTTATTGATTTGGGGGGTTTGTGGTTACAAAACCAATGAATAGTACAAAAAAAATACATAAATATGTAATTTTAGAATAAAAAATTTGTAGTTGGCCCTGGCTGGTGTGCCTCAGTGGATTGAGTGCTGGCCTGAGGACCAAGGGTTGCTAGTTCTATTCCCAGTCAGTGGAGAAGAGAAACACAGCACATACCTGGGTTGCAGGCCAGGCCCCCAGTAGAGGGTGCCCAAGAGGCAACTCCTGCTCATGTTTTTCTCCCTCTTCTCCCTCCTTTCCCCCACTTCTCTAAAAATAAATAAATAAAATCTTTAAAAATCTTGTAGCTGTTTTACTCTCCCATCCAGAGAAAGAAATAGTAATAATAGTAACATGTGCTATGAGTTTACTATGTGCCAGTAAGTGTTTCACACCCACCTTATGAGGTGTGCACTACTATCACCTTCATATGGACAAGAAGGGCTGGGGCACAAAGAAATTAAGCAGCTTGCTAAAGACTGCACAGTCCCTGACTAAAGCCACACTCCGCCTTAGGCAGTTTGACACCAGAGACAGCACTATTTACAATAACTCCTCATAAGAGTTTGAGATATATTTCTCCAAGTTCCTTCTTTCTCTCCTTCTTTCCTTCACAAACATTCAACCCACTACAATTTCTCTCCCAAGCTGTAATGAAATGACCACCCCCCCCAACCCCCGCCCCCACCCCGCCACACACACAAGTTGCTGCTGTGCTCTTACTAGTAAACCAAAGTGATAGGCATGCAGTAGAATAAGCCCTGAACAGAGCTGGGGCAATCTGAGTTCTAGTTCTCACTGACACTGTGTTTGTTTCCCCTGCTCATGCAAACTTTTAACTATCTCTACTCTCCCCTTTTTCCTTCCCCAGCCGACTGCAATCTCTCTTGTACCAGTGATGTGATGGTAAAAGCTTAACAACCAACTTGCTGGAAAAAAAATCCTTAATTTTTAGCAATCACCAATTTCCATAATGTAAATACTCCCCCATGGCTGATTTCCAGCCACCGACTTGATGTCACTGAATACAGAATTAGGAAGAAATATACATAGTCATCTGTTGAAGCTAGTAGGAGCACTCCACTGCATCTACCCCCATATCCTACAAAAAGTGCTCTATTTTTCAAAGGTCACCAGTAAGCTCATATTTGCCAAATCCAATGGGTGTTATTAGCCTCTTTGTTGCACCAGATATTTTGATGTCTCTCTTCATGAAACTTTCTATAAAGACGTTAAAGCCCAGTGCCCAAAGACCACCTGAAACAGCTGTAGTCAAAATTAGATTTATTAAGTCTCTGCAGAAATGGACACTGAAAACCAAGTGGCACTCTGGGGATGTGTCAGTGAAAGGGCATTAGGCGAGCCTAGTAATAAGATTTAGGCTTATGTTTGGTGATTTTGGAGAGAGTTCAAGGAAGTGGATGTTTTGTTCTGAGTTATTGGGTCGGCCAAAAAGTCCGTTTAGTTTCTTCCTTAAAATAAAAGACATTTTTCATTTTCACCAATAACTATCAATTTAGATATTTTGAGTATATTGGCTCTTTCCAGCATGTTATACAGTTGATTATTCTCAATTAACACCTCAGTTTGATCGCTATTAAATCAACTTGTCTACCCAACCATGGAGCATCATCTAGAGAGAAGTCCCCAATATGAAACTCTGCAAACATGTTTGATCAGTCACAGCACCTTCTCCATACACTGAACAAATCTTTTTTTGCATTTCATTTATGTTTTTGCCTTTCTTGAAATAATAAAGCATAATAGGCTGAAATGTTCCATCTTCAATATTAAAATGGCTACACAAAAATTCACCAACTTTGATCATTTTTTTAAATGCACACTGATATGACAGCTGTCACAATACAATCTAACAAAATTGTTTCAAATGAAGTTAAAGACAACTAAGTGCTACTAGAGCCATCTTATGGGAAAAACCAAATGAACTTTTTGGCCAACTCAATACAGTATGTTCTGAAAATTGCTGTCTTATTTTATGATTGCATGTGGTTTTTGTTTGTTTTGTTTTCTCTGTTTACACCTGATTGTGGAATGGTCTTGTTTTTGTCTGGTTCTATCACAGTTACAGAGTGACTTTGTCTGGTTTTCATATTCTGTGAAATTATTTATCCTCAGTATTGAATCATTATGGCCTAGCTATTGGTTGCCAAAGCAACTACCAACTGTAAGGGATTTTTTTTTCCTTCCTTCCTTCCCTCCTTCCCTCCTTCTTTCCTTCCTTCCTTCCTTCCTTCCTTCCTTCCTTCCTTCCTTCCTTCCTTCCTTCCCTCCTTCCTTTCTTCCTCCCTCCCTCCCTCCCTCTCTCCCTCCTTTCCTCCTTCCCTCCCTCCCTTCTTTTCTTCCTTCTTACTGGTCCTGTATTGAATTTCTCCATCCATATTTCCCCTTTCTCCTGAATTTGCTTGACTTCCTCTTCACCTCCCCACCCCCAGCCCCAGCTCTCACCCAGTGTTGGGTTTCTATGCTTGTACAACTTTTCTGTTCATTCTATACATGTTCTTTGTGTTACACCATCCACTTTCATGATTTTAACTCCTGCTCATATACCCATGACTTGCCGAAACATGTGTCTTTAACCTATACTTTTTCTCTATGCTTCAAACTTTTATATTCAATATCCAGCAAGATGGCAGTCTTTAGATTCTCCCTCAAACACTTTAACATCAACCAGCACAGAGTTCAAATTGCTCTCTTTTCTGCTAAACCAAAACCATTATGTTCTTTCTGAGCTCTCTATTGCACCTCCAGAATCTTATTCACCAAAAGTGACTCTAAGATCGTCT